ATATATGGTGTAGTTCTACCTGAAATTACAACAGCTTCTTAGATATCATTATAACATTACTTTGGTGAATCAGAATATTAACCTTGTTCATACATCACCACAATGAATTTTTCTTGACAGGTTTTCAAGTTCAATATTCATACAAAAATTTTATCTTGATTTAATAACTAAACAAAAAAAGCTTGCTTCCGTTGTATATATGTTTTTTTTCCCCAAGTATGTATGTACTTGGATGCCCTTAAATTCCCCAAGTAGAGAGAAATGCTTTCCACAGAGCTGCTTATTTCCAGTAACCCACATCAGAGCTGACACATGAAAAATGGTGAAATTACTGAAGGTAGTCCAGGCTGAATAAGGACTACCTTATTAGTTCAGGTACTTGCATCTCCCTAATTTTCATATTAATCATCTGTCCATCTTTCTTTGAAACAGGGCCATCATGCTTCATGTCAGAATTTAGCATGTAAGTAAAATTCATAGGGCTTCAAATCTCACTTGAAAATATTTGTATGAAGAGAATAATGACTAATTTTATTATTCCTATGTAACAAAAATGAGATTTATTTTAGTCCTTTTGCACTATGCAAACAATGTGACAAAGTTGGCAAATGAAATTTGAAAAAAAATTTAAAAGTAGTCTCACATATCCTCAAAAAAACCCCAAACAAACTCAATAATATGGAGCTGTTCCTATTTAACAAAGCTGCTACACACTGTAATGCACGTATGTTATATATTTCTCATCAATTTTTACAGTTTCCACTGATTAAATATATATTGACTCATAAAGTATTACCATTACATCAATTGTCAGCAGATGCAAGAGTATGTCATTTAAATATTAAGTATCATATAAAAATGGCAGCTTGATTGTTTGGAAGCAGTAATCTGGTGCTGGTTATTGCCACATTTCCCTAATGCATTAGGCAGCAGTCACAAAATGCATTGCCTTTCTTATATACCTATGACTATGAAGTCAGAAGCAGATAAGTTCTTTAAATATCTTCCCTTTCTCTCTGATTTAATTTTTATTTATTTCTGAACTGCAGAAATCTTTGATCTGAATTGCAAAGATGCATTAGCGTAATATAAACAAAGACATGTTCACTGAAGTCAGATTATACGCATCATCTCTAAATCATTGGGAACGTCATGGGTACAAAAAAAATATACAAACAAGAACCAGTAACAGATATATTACTTTGTGCTTGAAATATTTTTATGACTATTCCCATACAATATGGGCATTATATATCATGAATCGTGTTGTTTGCCTAAATTCTTAATAAGTACTTCTTTATGTAAAATACTGACAACAGAATATGCTTAGAGACTTACTATTTTCAGAAATGGTAAAAAGCTACACATTGCCACTAACATGAAATAAATCCTTTATCTATGTTTACTGTATGATCAGGATATGTAGACACTTCATAGACCATTAAAACCTTCTAACAACTGATAGGTAATTACTCATTTGTTGGCTGCATGACTGTACACAGGAGAGAAACTACTCCTTCTTACTAATATAACATGTAGAACTTGCTGCTATTGCAACACTTAATGTTCATAGTGTCATATCATTTTTAATGAAAACACCCATTTTCTGCCTTCCTCCTATGTTTTCTATTAAAATGCAACACGAAACAGCATACATTTCATTCTATCCCTCTGAGGGTTGCACAAGCAGTTCCAACTTGTATCAGATACTATATTGCTATTATTATTGTAAATAAATATTTCAGACTTTTAGGGGTAGATATTTCTTTTTTTTTTTTTTTTTCCTAGGATGCTCACAGTCACTATTACAAACTTTTTGCATCTTCTTTTAAGGCAGTATTCTAGAGAGTACTTTTTAATGCAAATAACTCCTTGCATTCCAAAGCAGATTCATATTCTAGTTAATAAACATTCCTGACAAATTACTGTCAGACTGTAACAGCGAGTGCACCGATCTTCTCATACACTAACTTTTCTATGAAATGGCTATACTGAGGAATTTATTCTGCTTAATTGCTTTATATTAAGCAGTTTTCATTAGCCATTCTCTAATCTGTACAAAATGAATTAAAAGGAGTTAGGAAAATGAACTGTTTTAACTCTTCCTATTACAAAAAAATCTTAGATGGGTTTTATTATTTAAAAAACAAGGAGACAACAACAACAGGTAAATCCGATGTAACTCCATTTCATCAATCTGAGAATTTTTAATAAATCTGTGTGTTAAAGAGTACTTATCTTATTTAGTTTCTCTAAAATTTCCTGCAAAATACAAATTCAGAGAGTCTCTTACACATTTGCCTTGAAGTTAAGAGACTAATTACATTAACTGATTTATTAATAAATGGGGCTCTTTGTCTAATTATTTTAAGTACTAACAGACTGGGGAACAATTTTAAATGTCTAATGTGCCTTGAAACCATTTTTTTAGGTTAATTACATTTCTCAGTAAAGTCACTATAGATATGCCCCTTAGGTTTTACACTGGAAGATTAAAGAAAAAAGTAAAGATGATTACCTCATTGGCCAGCTCCAGTAACACAGGGGCAGCTGCATTTTTCATCACCCCATTCAGGTACCTAGACAAGACAAAGCCAAGTGATTTTGCAGTGGCAAGAAAAGGCCAGCCTATAATCGTGAGTATCTCCTGTTAATCTCTCACTTGGAGGAAAATACTCCAGTACAGTATTTAACAGGAAATCTTTTGAGAAATAAGTATTTTAAACAATCACTAATTATCCAGGGTTATTTCCCACTCATCTGCAAGATACATCAATCTCAATTAAGTCATTGATGAAACCATAAATAATAAATTAAGAAAACTCTATCAAAAATTTTTGGCTTAATGCCACACAAATAATTATATCTTCATTATTTAAAGACGCCTAACAGACAAGAAATTCCTATTATTTACAGTAAAGATTTTGGGTTACACATGGCCTTCAACTACACGGGCACAAACCACAGCCTATTCCATTCACTACTATGCACAAAACCACAAATTCACAAATTTAATCACAGATGTTATCAACTAGGTAGCAGTTTAAACAATAAAGGCTTACTTCACTGAAATCAGAGCCTAACAATCAAATAAATATTCTAAAGGGAAAGTTAAAAGAACTATTTAAAATCCTATGAAGAGGAAAGTCATTATCCTATCAATGGCAAAGGCGAAAAGTTTCCAGTAAAGGGTATCAGACCAATACCGATACATGGTGATACTTCTGACAATCACCTCACACAATACTGCCTTCCTCCTCTCTATTACTTTCACTTTTTGATGTTTAAGTTTCAATAATGCCTAAAACATGCTTTCAGGAGTTTATGGGAAGAAGCTATATTATTAGAAGTCACTTTGTGCTTTGTAGCCATCTGGAAAAGAACAGTATTTTACCAACATTTGAGCCTGTTAGTCTATCCTATCCACAGTGATACAGCAAGCTGTTAGCAAGACATATAGCAAGCGTGACATCTTTAGAAGACTACAGTCCTTTTAGCTCTATCATTACCTATCTACCAGAAGCCATCCTTCTGTTCATTCTTTAGGGGTATTATAAATTTCTATCATTTTACCTTTCTGTGAAATGGGTGTAACACCATCTACATATAACTTTTGCAGAGGAGGCTTTTTGTTTTCAAATTATTCCGAAGCTCAATGATTAATTATTACTGTAAAATATTTTCAATTGTATGCAAAACAACACAAAACAAGATGCCTCGTGTATATTTAAACACTTGAAAACTTACACTGGTGGGAAAAATTAGAGTTCATAAACAAAATACCTAACCAGGGAGATTTACTTGACACTAATGTTCTAAAATATGCATCTAGCTGATTAAACCTCAAAGCTACAGCTGACAATGGAGTAATTTACTGTCAGGTATTTCTAATGCTACTGGCGGTGCATTATGGAATGACCGGCTTCACATGCTGCTCGTGTTATTGTTCTGGAAAGCTTGCTGATCTTTCTGGTAAGTTGCCTCTGTGTTTGCCCACATCTAAGACAAGTCTCAGCAGAGGAGACTCACTCAACTGCACTTCTATGGGCTCCCAGCAGGGACCACTGGAAATGATACCTTCCAAAATAGGTAGAGTTTCTGACATAGCAAAGCAATAGAAGCACTACAATCTTCTTGCATGTAGGTGGGACAGGAGGAAACCTACCACACACATTGAGGGTTTACAGCGGTAAGATGGATGGTGGAAAAGAGTAGTGGAGAAGATGTGTTTGTCAGGTTTGTGCTTGTAGCATGTTAAACGGCCTTCTGACTCAAGTAGTCTGCCCCTTTCACTTACATAACATACCACACAGTAAATCTACTAAAACAGGATGGAGATGAGTTTTCTAACTATTAACCAGAACATCTCTGATTTTAGAACATGTGCATTCTATTCAGCCATGTTAGAACATCTGCAATATGAAATGCCTAGAAATAGCATGAAGAATGATTCTTCCTATCATAACCATATAGCTTCATACATAATGCATTAGTTATGTACTACCATCATACTTCAGACAGTACAGAAGGGGACAGGAGACGAAATCTGCCTACCCGATGTGAGCCAAACAATCATACCTACAAACTTACTGACACCCACACAACTATTACTTTGCATAAAGCAAAATTTGGTTCCACGTTTTGGGTTTAAGTTGTTGGAGCTAGTAATACATTTATCATAAAAGTGGTTTAGCTGATTTACACGTGTTCTAAGAAAAGAGTTATTTATGTAGCAGTTACAACTAACATAGGTTACTTTACTAAAACCATGTAAGTGAAAAGCAATTAGAAATAACGGTCATATATATGCAATACTAACACAACAAATTTTTAAACCAATGTTCTTCCTAAATAAGAATCAACTCTGGGAAAAGTGAAACAAGATCTGGTCTGTTTTTTTAATACAGCAATACATCCATTAAGAAAAGAAAAGGAAGCCCCAAAAAAGCAGAATTCACACTAGATTTTCTACACTGGTGCCTAATATAATCAGATTATCCTTGGGTTTTAAATATACGACTCGGTGGAATCACTGAGAGCACTTAAATGTTTACAAATGAAGGCTTTTTGTTTATTTTCCCGATTCATAAAGATTAATATTAAGCATAAATATCATATATCTATAATCATAAGTATGATCTCACTTGCCATGCAACCTCTTCAGATATGTCAGCCTACAAAGTAATATTTTAATTGTATATCTCTACCCGTTATCAGTATGCCCCAATTATGTCATTGCAATATTTTTAAGAAAAGCCTATAGAACTAACCGACAAACTATAAGGTGTAGCAATTACAATTTATTAGCTCAAGACGCACAAAATTGTAAAATATTGTAAAATGACATTAAAGGCTTTCATTCCTCCTTAAAAGCTATTTCTGACACTTCTGTTGATAAAACAGGAGTGATCTAATAATTAATGCTTTAACTGGTAACATACTAATTTAATATGCAACTTTTTGTAACGTAACACAAACGTTATTTTAAAAATACAAGCACCTGCAACAAAGCAAGCTCCTTCACTTTAAGGAATTTATCATTAGAATTAGTCTTGACATAGAATTCATTATATATTGCCTACAGTTTGCAATCTCAGGATTTCTATCACATGCACTGTAAGAAAAAATATTTTGCTATCTTGACTTAACGCCAAGGAAGAAAAAACCCTCTTGATCAGACCGAACAAAGCTGCACAATTTTTGCCTTTTCACTGAAAATCGTCTTTAGTGGAGCCTTTTTGTAACCCTCATCCCAAATTGCTGATCTATATTTATAGAAAATCAGCTTAATAAGCTAACTTACTTATAATTATCATAACAATTAGTAGCTATGATGATACACTTTACTGGGGTGGGGAGGTCATACCTTTGGTAGTAAGTTTCAACAGCCTCAGCAGTGTGATGCTTGGCGTGTGTTCTTTTCACTTGTTTCTAGAGAAAAAAGAAAGAAAAACAAATCAAGAGTCTTACAAACATGTCACAGATCAAAACACAGAAATCACGACCGTCCAAACACAGGTTTCTTAGCCACACTTTGATATATAAACTGAATTATATTTTTAGAATTCTATATGAAATGATGTTTAATCTACCTACTGAATTGAATGTCTTCAGACTGTACTGCAATGCACCATATATGTAAAAGCCAGTAAGGTCACAAGAATTGAATCCAAATAAGTTTACTGAAGGCTGCAGAGGGCAAAGAAAAACTTGTTCTCTCTTTCAACCTTTGTATTAATTTTCCCTCAATTCAATTCCATCTAAGTCTGGTGTACTCTGGTTTTACAATTCAATTGGCATTTTTAACCAGGAAGAACATTGCTTAAAAACAACTTATTTGAAAAACTACAAAAAGTAATTCCATAGAGACTTGCCACTTGACTGACACCTGTCATCTCATGATAAATGACTCCATTTTCTGCCTCTCTTGCCTTCTGCCACTCCGGCTATGGTCATTTATCATCATCTCTGTCAGCAATGGAAAGCAGCACTGACAGTGCAAGTCAGCAAACATTTAGCACATGGAACCACGCAACACAGGGAAATTATTATTGTCAGAATAATAATGGTTTAGCATAATTTATTACAGGTCCACCAAATAAGCAAAGGCTAGATGTTATTAGACAGATGGATGGGTAGGCTTGGCAGCCATCCACTGAGACTCAGGCGGTGCTTGATGTGGAAAAGGGAACATCCTCCAAACCAATCAGAAAGCTGGCAGTTCAATTACAAAGAAATAAAGGGACATTCATCATTCAATTAGGCACCTGTCAACCCTCACAAAGGAGAAAACTTCTAACCTGGTACTCCTGGGAGAAGATGCTCAGCAGAGTGGACTGCGATTGACTGGAACAAATAAAAGAAGGACAAAGTTAATTACTGGAGTGCACTGCAAAGAAACAAAAGAGAAGGGAGCTTCAAAGGTAGGCCTGCTGCCCTGTAATCTAACAGAACATGAAAACAAGTGTGGAAAAGTTGTTCCAGATGAACACCTCAGACAAAGGCTTCCTGCTGCTAGGTCAAGGAGAGCGCGTATGAGGGAGGGGAGGAAAATATAGCAAGAGTTTCAAAGCAAACTAGCATACTGTTCGGGTGATTCTTTCTCAGCTTCAGAACCCACAAAGTCATATCAGTAGCAGGTACTGGAGTTAAAAGGGACATCGTAAAAAGGAAAACAAAGCAGAATTTCCATTAATAACTGATAGAGTTAAATTCCATTAGCAGTTGGGAACATGCCGCTTGTTCACTGGCAACACATTGAAATTCATTTTGTTAACAGCAAGGGAACCTCTTCAGTAGCTGTCTCATATTCAGAGTAAAAACTTCGCTCTCTGTCAGAAGTAGCATATGGGACCACTGGAACATTCCCACTGAAACTGATGTGCTTTGAAAATAGAAACTTTCACAGCAGGAAGCTGAGATTCCCCAGAGTCGGTCATTTCCAAAAGCTGCCATAAGCTTCATTCATCTAAGGCTCAACTCAATGTCAAACACCTGGCAATGAAGCAACCTGGAAAACATTTTTCCCAAGTGGGAGTTTTTTCTCTCTAAATTGTTAACATTTAGAAATGGGACAAGATTTTTCTCCCTCTAAAAGGCAATCAATACCACGCTGCTACTGTTTTCAGTTGTCCTCAGTGGATATATCTACCACATCACATCCTGAATACAATTACTTACTGCTGATATATTTTCCTACCAGATGCAACTTGAACAAATTATCGTCTCAATAAATTGAGTTTTACGGTACAGCAAGGCATTATGAATAATTAACATTTTTCCTTTCATGGACGTACCTACTTAGGCATAATATAGGTAGTTCAAATATTCAGCACTGTCAGAAGTCTTGCTCTTCGGCTATTTCTCTTGGATGTGAATTTAACATCTGTATCACATCATATTTTCACTGATGACTCGTCTATAAAAGTAACTGTTTTCTACATACTTACACGGCTCTTCTCCTTGTAATTTTCACACCTCAAACACTATTTTAAGATAAGGAAGTCTTACTCCCGTTTTGAAAACTGAGACACAGAACAACTAAATGGTTTGCTCGAGGTTAAACAGAAGGTACGTCCATGCAACACAATACAGGAGCAGTTACCTCTAAACTAACTAGTTGAAGCATTAAGAACACAGTAACTAGATTAATGCAGCACTATATAAAGTGCTGATTAGCTTGGGGTATTTTGATTCCACATCTGTGCTTCCGGTATCTCTGCCGCAACACTGTACTCTGGCTAAGCAGTGACAGCAGTACGCTGAGCCTTGATCTCCAGTATTTTAAACACAAGAGTATCCACCCTGAGTACTCACTTACTGTTAAAATTGTAGAAAAAAATGATAGCAATATAAACCATTCTACTAATATACAGATTTACTAAACTAACAGATTACAAAAAATACATTACTATATAGCCAACATTTTAAATATTTTGAAATATACATCATTTGACACGGAGGTCAGAAGAGATGAACTATCATGTCTCCCCAAAAGGTGCATCATCCAGTTATGAGAAGCCTTATCATGCACACGCAATAATCAAAAGGTGAACAAAGGAAAAAAATTAAGATTATATACTTACACAGGCTATATATATGCAAGGCTAAGTTATTTCAGGTTGATGAATTTAAAAAAAATTGGTAAGCTATAAATAAGAAGGCTATAAATGGCCCCCTAACGGCTCTCCACATAACTATAATTATCTGGCAGATTTACATGGTCATAATGGTAGAAATGAATATGGAGGAGAGATTTGAAGAAACAAAACAGAACAGCATTTAACTGGATTTCTGAAGGACAGTACGGACAGAATGTTAACGAAAGCACAAACATACCCTTTGGAGGAACGGACAAGTAACTCGAGATGATTTAGGAGTGAGGCATAAACCATAAAAAAAAGCAAGATTTTATATTAAAAGATTTTTTTAAAAGCTAAAAAACTAGAAATTTGACCTTGACAGTTTATGGAAAGATTCAGAAAGTGATGGTACAGGAAAATTTGTGGATAAACACAGCTGACTATGTCAGGATGACCTGTTCTAGACAAGCATCTTGAATTGACTTGAAGAAAGGCAAATGAATATCACAAAAGTCAGAAGTGAGGAAACTGCGATAATTAAGGTGCCAAATAGCAAACATTTTTGCTAGTGTATATGGATATAGAGCATGTACTTGGTGGACCTTGGAGATATCACAAAGGAAATTTCAGCAAGGTTTGAATACAAGAGATATATAAAAACAACCTAGGGCATTTGGGGTCAAACATGACACTCAAATTCCAAATCAGGAGAAGTGACTGATGTGAAAGACAGTGTTTGGTCAATCACAACAGAAACAGAAAGGAGTACAAAATGGTAAAGATTTTATTTTGTTCCACAAATCCCGCCCAGATCCTAAAGAAAAAAAAAGACAAGTAAATCATGATAAAAATGCTGGGCTTTCTAAGATTTTAATTTCACAGGTGGAAGGGGAAGCTACCTTGCATAATGTAAGAACATTCTAGGGAGAAGACTTAAATCAACTCCTTGTTAATAATACGAAATTATGAATACAATCTGATTAAACAAAGAAACTTTTAAAAGACTACTTTTTAAAAATATAATCAAATCCTTTCTCCTTCCTCATATCTTGATTATTTTTCCCTATACCTTGATTATCTCTCCCCTTCCCAGTCTTATAATATTCCATATGTCTTGGTTGCTATACCTTGTCTTGTTTGAGTTCTTTCCCATTGATTTTTTGATTTTTTGTATATACACCTACATTGTATTTTTTAGGCTGTTCCCTGTAAGATTACTGTACTTACTGTACCATTATGCTTACTGACATATCAATAAGACTGAAAACCATTATCTTTTTATTCATAGACTGGATTCTTCTTGTCCATTTTTTTTGTTCCTTTGCTTAATTTTTCCTTTCTCTCTATTTCAGTTTAGTCTTCCGTGTTCCCAACACTTCACATCATTTAGGACACAAATACTAGAAAGTACAGTCCAGTAACTGAACAAATTGGATATATATTGGACTACAGCGTAAGAACAATAAGAACACGACAAAAAGAACTATTTCAATAGTACCATTCAAAGAATTTCAGTCCTTCCACCAGGAGAATTTCTCTCCTTCCCCAACAGAGGTGGATGTATATCTACGCACGGTTGCTTCCATGTTTTTTCTAGTTAACACAGTTCCCCTGTTCACCCCTAAAATCACTTATCTCCAACTCAGTGTTTCCTTGCCACAGCAGATAAATTCAATTTCCTGGCAAAGTGAGATAGCTCCTCAAAACAGAGTTGGAATACCTATTAGAAGATGCCTCTGACAGCAAAACTGAAACATCCTGGTTTCAGAAAGTGCTGGAAAAGATGGTTGTGTGTGCTTGGAGAAAGGACATTAGCTATGGATAGGCATCAACACTGCAAGGCATAGCATGAAAAGAAACGATTGCAACAGCTGATACTGGCAGTCGGGGATACTGATATGTAAATTATTATGACTCCCACAGAAACAGCCAAATTCCTAGAGCTCCATCCTTCCTCTAACGCTTCTGCTCATGATTTCAAAGCTGCGAATAGGCACATAAATTAATATAGATGAGATAACTCACGAAAACAAATACCCTAACAAATACCACTGAAAATAGCTTTTATTCAAAGTAACTGAGTGTTGTATCATTGCCTCTTAAAGAATAAATTTCCTAGTGAGTCACATGGCTTACTGGAAGGCTAGGAATAGAATAGATTTGTTTCTTTCAAATAAGCTCTTTGGTCCGACACTCACTGTAGAGGCAAAGTACGGATTTGTTGATTTTCTTTAAGAAAAAAAAAAAAAAGTGAGTGCTGCCTAGTTTAAATAATCAATAAATTAAGTTGTTATTCATCTCTCATAGAACTGAATGTATTTTCCAGGAAAATAAGCAAGCTTTCCTCTTTAGTTCTCTAACAACTACTATCATGGAAATATTTTCTTCTGCAATTCCAGATGCTGACGGATCTAACTCCCAGGACTCTGTTCAAAGCTACTAGCCTTGCTCTTGAAATATCCTCATTTTCTTGTACAACAGCATCCACAATGAACCAATCTACCTTTTGTTGCTTTGTGTTGACGTTGGTGGCATACTTCCACCTGCACGCCTGATGCAGTTTGTGCTCTTGTCTACAGCACTGGTCTTCTGCAGAACACAGAATGAAATCTAAAAACTACCCAGCATTACAAAATGCCCAAATCTTGTTTAAGGAAAATAACTCTTTTTTAAAAAAACTGAAATATTGTTTATGGGTTCCAAATGATATAAAGGTATAAAAATTTGCTTTTAATATAAAGCATGGCATGATAGATACTAAAATCCATCCACATTTAGAATGGGATGTCCAAGTCTGACCAGAACAGGCTAAAAAGACAACTGCAAGTCTGCTGCTGGAGAGGTAATATTCCTTTTGGTCGCTTAATATGTAAAAATAGAACATTTTCTTCTAGGGAATGCCTGAATTTGGAAGAGGGGAAAGAAAATTTTTCTACTTGTTAACATCACTGGACAGTACTCCAGAAATATTTTGGCTGCAGTGAGTATTCGTATTTAAACTTGCAACAGATAATATGCTGATGCAGATTAGTGCTTCATAACTAAGATCTGATGTAAAGCTCTGGCCAAGAAGCTGCTAGTAAGACCAAAAGATTTTTCTTTGTATCAGATTGTCTTCTCAGCAAAGCACACTTGCATATCTCACCAAGATCTGGGGTGCTGTCCAACTTAATCTTTTGCTGTTTACTACAGCCTCACCAGGAGAAAATCCAAACATGACAGCTTCAGTAACTATTATGTTATCCCAAGTTCTTTCAAATAATGAACCCTTTAGGGATAAGACAAAACTTATGTTTTCCCACTTCATTTTCTGAGATTTCTAAAAAAAAAATCAAAATTCTAGGTATAAAAATAAGTTTCCACTTGTTTCATCCCTTCAGGTTAAAATGGCAACATTTTCTTTTCTCCATCTTTAATTCCCCACTTTTTGCCTAAGATAGAAAGATGAAAAATTCAGCTTTGCATTTCATGTGTTTTACCATGCTACATAGGAAGAACATCTAGAGAGATCTGTAAAAAACATCAAAAGTAAATATGAACTGCGGTATTTAATCTAGTAACTATTCACACAACTGGAGACAAGTTGGGAGAAAGTAAAGTGCATCATGAGACAATGATAAAGTGTTAGGGGAAAAAGAAAGCATTTTCATGTGACAAACTGAAAAAAAAATGTGATAGTTTCAATGTTTTCCTCTTAACAAATGAAATCTACAAAGAATGTTGCTTCCTTTTTACAAAATGGATCATTCCACTCATTAAGATGATAAAGATATTAGTTAAAAACCTAACCTAGGAGATAAAAACACAAAAAGGAGAAGGCGGGGTGAAGGCTGCATTTCCAAAATTCAGAAGTCATTACGTGTAAAATGCCAAAGCGGCAGTGTCAAACTGGTCTTCAAAGCGCATACTACAGTGCATCTCGCTTACTGTAGGAATTCAAGCATGGGGAGAATGTGATATTTATCTTTAAAATATAAGTAATAAAACTTAGGGTTAGAACTACTGTGTGGTACTACCACGCTGAATTAAAAATCTATATGAAGAAAGAAATATACCTATCTGACTAATTTAAATAGCAGGGGATGAAAGGGAAGCCTCACAGCTATTCTAATAATGCTGCAATGTGTGTCTCAAATACAGTTTTCCAATTGCATCATCAAACATGTGAGACAAACGTGAACAACCTTTTAAGTCTCATCTTCTGGACTGTGAATTCGTTGGAACAAAGATGGCTAAGAAAGCTGTGTTTCCATACTGTTCATCACATGCTAACCAGTCCTCTCTCGATTTCTAAAAACTCTGTCAATAACAGAATTCAAACAGCTCTAGCAGCATCGGCTCAAATGGGCGACACATGCACAGCTGTGTAAAGCTTCTGTGGCTTCCCAGAACTGCAGGATGTAGGCTAACAAGCAATAAAGTTATGCCTGTAAATCAACTGAAATCACTCTGATAGTGAACTTCTTACATGACAGGAGCCCACAACTAGCTAATTCTCAGAATTTCTTCCAAGTGTCAGGATTGTCCGGTTGGGGAAAAAGCTTCTTAAGACTCTGAATGGTTCCACTTGAGACACAGCTCTAGCAAGGCTCAGGAATAACAAAGACCTAGTAAAACTGAAGAACATGGAATGAGGGAGGGAGAGTCATGGGCCTCTGGAATAAAGTTAGGGCTTTGATCTCTCTTCACTGCAGCTTTTAATATTAAAATCTTTTCTACAGGTTTAATATGCTTGTAGCCACTTCAAAGAATGTAAATTAACAAAAAGAAAATTATTGTCTCAGTATACATTTGTACTCTATCATTCCCAAATCTAACACTGATTTATCGGAAGTCAGTGAATTACCAATTTAAACTAAGTCAACATATGTGTCTAAATTAAGGATTTGAATCGGGGTAACTAAGTCACATAAAAGTCTTTAGTTACAACACTGCACCTTCTCTAAAACAGGTATCTTCCAGTGTTACAGTTTTCCAGTTATATCGGTTCAAGTTTCTGATGCAAAAACAGTTGTATTGTCTCTGCATAAGAAGCCTTCCATGCAATGAAACATCATCAGTAGATACTACTCGGGGAACTAGAAAACCAAGACAGTGCTGTTGGCAAAAAAACTCCCATTACAAATACATTAATACTATTAAAATTCTAGATATATGACAAGAAGAATCTGCTGCAGGGTTAATAGACTTATTTCAGAATTAGTGCCATCAAATTTAAAATCAAGACAAAATTCAAGCCCAGTCATTTGCAGAACTATAGCACTAATCAATTTTGAAATTCACCAATATCAACTGTACAACAATATCAACTGTTCATTAAACTGTACAAAAGCTCACCTCAAAAGAATTTTTATAAAGTACTTCTAAATACGAAACACTTACTAAATGCATCAAACATAAAGCAGACTTTGTACTTTCAGTAGGACAGACTAGGTAGAGGCCAAAAATAAAGACGCTGAGGAAAAAAGACTTCCTGCATTGCAGGCTTACATGATGCAATAATAACAAAAAGGTTAAATGCATGTATGTACATACAACTTTGCTGCCTATATCCAGGATTATGAGGATAACTGCATGATAAAGCTCTGAGAAGGCTACTTGAGAAGAGTCATCACTTCTATGACCTTGACACTGGCTGGTTTCGCAACTTCTATACAATTTAGTGATGTGCAAGAACAGATGATGGTGCAATACATAGAAATGGCAGCATTTAAAATTCATAGTAGCAGAAGGCCATTACTTTTCCCACTGGGCCACTTGAACTTTAATAATGTCTGACCTGGTTGGCCAATAAGTTCTAGCAGCAGACAGAGGAAAATTGCCAGTATTAGATACTGTTCGAATGATTTTTCATTTAGAAAGACTTAGAAGTTCCTTTAAGAACAGGGCACCAATTCTTTCTGCAGACACCTCATTTTTTTGGTGTCTTTTGTAATAGCCAATACATTTTCAGACAACTGCAGACTGTGAACAATCTGTATGAGACATGTAAAGAAAATAAAAAAACAGAGGTGAATATTAGCAGTCCTGCAGAATTAATTTCCGTCTTCTTTCACAAAAAACACTTTGGGCAGCAGTAACATAAGGGTAACCCAAAATAAGCAATATCTAACTCTTACAAAGTATTTCTGATCAAGTCCCCAAGATGAAAATGGTAAGTCATAAGAAGGTGCAAGTTTGGCAACTGCATATACCTGCATATGGCGAGAGGAACAGCACCACACTGAGAGTGGAAAAACAACAATAAATACTGCAATTAAAAATGGAATTCTGAAAACACAGGCATAGATGAGTGATGTTTCCCCTTGCAAATAAACTACTTGCTGGTCTTATGATCTTAGTAAGTAAATATAGAAAATAGACAGTAATTTGCCTGAAATATTGTTCTAATACTTTATTTCAGAGAGAGCTCTGTGCTTTTTGCATGAATGTCTGAAACATACCTAAATGCCAAACACATACTTACAAGACCCTTGGAAGTAATTACTCTTTCATCAATGTTTCAAATGAAGCCTCTGACTATGAGTGTATATATAACTATTTTGTAAGGTTTAATTTTGAAGCTGGGAAATACTGCAGGTGTAATACAGAAACAAATGATATTCAAATAAAAATATCCAACCCAAGAGAGTTGAGAAACACAAGGTCAATGCTAAAACCTCATACTAAATTCTCAGATGAACATTCTAAACAAAAAAAAAAAAAAAAAAAAGCTTCCATAGCTTTAAAATCTTTACAACTTACACACACTAGAACTGCTCTGGTACACTGTGGTGATTTAGCCAGGGAGCTCACTGACAAAAGAAACTGATAGGAAAAGTCTATTTATAAAGTCTGGCCTCCCAACTTCAGCTTGGTATTCTCCATACGTGTTCTCTACGCTTCCTTCTCCTGGTCTTCTTTAAAAGTCTCCTCTCAACCAATTCTCCTACCAATAAAATTGCTCAGAAATAAAGTTCCTCATAAAATTAATTAAAAAAGAAAAAAAGCAAAGTGTGAGACTAGCACTGTGATAACACATAAGCAGATGATCTATCCATTCACTAATCTACTTACATTTAAAGTTTCTTAGTAAGAAGTTTCTAAATAGGCAAATATAGCATCAGCGAACATATCCCAAAGCAGAGGCAGAGAGCAGAGTTTCAGGGAGAGCGAGAAAAGCAAATCTTTGCCTATTCTTCGGCTGTATTTAAATGTACATCATACATAACCAAATTCAACTTAATTAACGTTAAGGTTATACAGAAAACATTTGAAAAGGTTGAACTCTTCCTCTTAGCACCGCAATCTAAACAGTGCAGCATTAGGCAAAGATATACAAAAGTAAATGCTATCTGATGACAGTTGTTCAAAGAAACATGCACCTAGGCCACAGCAACAATGGACTTTAACAAAAGCAGGTAAGGCAGGCAAGACGTAGTTTAAACCAGTGATTTATCAGCTCACCTTTCGCACCTGCCCTCTTGATAGGGTCAAGGTCTGTATGTTAAAATAACATTCACTTAGTAAGCTATTACGGACAAGAAATATTTGATACATTCATTTTGTGTTCTCATATGCCTCATTTTGTTTGGTTAACTCTATCCCTGCCACTTCCTTTTTCCCCCCGAGGGGAAAAAAAAAAAAAAGACTATAAAATCACTTGTCAAGAGAAGTTTTTAAAACCAAAATCTTAAATTTCCTGATTTGCGGAGAGGGGGAAAACTGTAAACATAGAAATTTAACTTTAGAAAATTATTTTTGTTAGTAAATGGCAATTCAAAGACAATTAGACAATTCATTTTATGTTTAAGAAACATAGCCTGTATGTAAAAATCATATTTGTGCCAATTCAAAACTAAATAAATCCCCAAACACCCTTAAACAATTTGCCGTTAAAAATATATAATCAAATTTAGAAAACTATAAATTATATTTAAATTTATTATTTACAAGCAATTAATTATGAAGACAGCCAGGTGGCTTTCATTACATAAATTACTGTTAATGACACTTGCCTCATGCTGCTACTGTATTTAGCATTTGCATGCATCACGTGTCAAGCATACACACTGTTGCATAGTTATCTCCAGGACGAAACTGAACACCTTAAGTCAAAAAAAGGTATAGTAATCCAATCAAAAATTGATAATTCCTCAAAAAAAGGCAGGATCTTACTAATGTTACCCATACAGGATATAATTTAAAGAATTTTAACTCTGTCAAACATGAACATTACAGAAGTGTAAAAACTAATTCCACTTTTGAGAAAGATACAGAATTAAGGCAAGAAATGAACCCATTTATATCTCGTCTACTTGAGACACTTAGTCTTAAATCCTAAATAGTGTACTAAAGTTTATCATTTTAAAGCTACTTGTATTAAAAAAATAAAACAGCATAATTCTTGCCTATCTAGCTGACAGAGCCTTGTCTTATATCTGTAAGGTATTACACTGTATATGTAGATATTTAAAAAAGTCTACTTGCAGTCCCAAGGGTATAACTTACGGTCAATTCAAAAAGGAACAGTTGATTTCCTTCTAAATTGCAGTTTTTGAGCATTCCTTTTTTTTTTTTTTCCCTCTCCAAATTGTCTACCTAGAACTGTGACGATTACATTCACTGTCAGACAATATGAAGGGAACATCTGACAGGAGGGAAATAATTCTGTCCTGAAACTTCTCTAACCTTCTTTTCCACTTCTACAATTATAATTTTCCCTTCTCTCCCTCCTCTTCCCTGAGGATTTTTTTTTTTGATGTTCTTTGTACTTCTCTGGAAATCAGTACAATCGCCATATGCTTTGCTTCCTGCATTGTCAAAGGAGTTGAAAAGGTTGGGTTTCCAGCAGAACTCCTATTCCATACACTAGTTAAACAGAATCATCTCTGATATAAACAATCAATAGATTTACCATATAGCATGACCTCCATTAA